AGAAAATGCACTATTATACACTGAGAACAATACTGCTTGGGCCGGGGATTTAGCTCAGTGATTCTGCGCCTGCCTTCCACGTGCAAAGACCCAAGTTCGATCCCTGGTACCAAAAACAAAACAAAACAACAACAACAACAAAAAAGATACTGCTAGAAGAAATTATAGAAGACCTAAATAAATTGAAAGCCAACTCATGTTCATGGTTTGAAAGACAATATTGTTAATAGGGTAACACTCTCCAAGTTGTTCTACACTGCAATCTCTACCACATTCCAAATGCCTTTTTTCTATAAATGGAAAAGTTGCCTAAAAACATTCTTAAAGAAATTCAAGAGATCCAGAATAGCCAAGACTTATGTACAGGAAGAATAAAGATAAAAATCACATGCTTCTCAATTTTAAAAATGGTGAAACTGGTGTAAGGACAGACATAGATCACTACAAGAGAACTGACCTCAGAAACAATCTCAAGTTATCTATAATTAATTGATTTTTAAGAAGAGTACTAAGACATTCAATAGGGGAAAGGTTTTCTTTTCTTTATACTGGAACAAATGGATATTCATGAAAAAATGCAAAGGAATAAAATTAGACTCCCAGCTCACACCCCATATAAAAGTTAACTCCAAATATATTCAACAACTTAATAGAGCAGCTAAAACTATAAACTCTCAGAGAAAAACGTGGGTATAGATCCTTGTGACCTTGAATTAGGCAGTGTTCCTTAGATATGATAGCTAAAGTTCAACTGATGGGGAGAAAATTGGGTTTCATCACTATGGAAAGTTTTTGTGTCAAAAGACACCATCAGGAAAGTGAAAAGGTAACCCAAACAATTAGAGAAATACTTGCAAAATATGTCTCCAATAAGGGTCTAGTATCCAAAGTATATAAAGAATACATATCTTACAGCTCAATTAAAAACAACCCAGTTAAAAATCAGCAAATGATTTCAAGACACTTCTCCAAAGATATATAAACTACCAACAACCACACGAAAAAAATCCCCACTATCACTAATCATTAGGGAAATATAAATCTAAACTAAAATATCATTTCACACATAATAACATGGCTGTAACAATAATATTGAAAAGCAGGAAAAAAAGTGTTGGTGAGAATTTGAAGAAACAAGAACAAGACATTACCATGTGATACAAAATGACACAGCCCTTATAGAAAATACTAACATAGTTCCAAAAAATGTTAAAAATAGAATGACCATGGCACAGAATTTCACTCCTCGGTGTATTCTAAAAGAACTGAGAATGTATGGATGCAATAACTTGTATGCAAATGTCTCTAGCAGCCCTGTTCACAAGAGCAAAAACTAGAAACAATACTCTGGTTTCTCTTCAGATCACATAAATCTTTCATCTTTTACTAAAATCTAGAAACAACCCAAAGCCCGCTAACTGATGAACAGATAAATAAAGTGTGGCATATTCATACAATGGCACACTACTCAGCCATAAAATGAAAGGAAGTACTGGTACATGCCACATCATTAATGAACCTAAAAGACTAAGTAAAAGAAGCTAAAAACAAAAGGCCACATTCTGTTTGAGTCTATCTGTATGAAATCTATAGAGACAGAAATTATAATTACTGCTTGCCAGGGACTGGGATAACTCAGGGAATGGGGAACGACTCCTGGTAAGTACAGGGTTTCTTTGGTGGTGGTGGTGTGATGAAAACATCCTGGAGTTGAGATCGTGGTGATGGCTGCACAACCTTGTGAATATATTTAAACACACTGAATATTATGGTTTGTGAATTATAATTCAATAAACTACATCCTCCCCATTTTTTCTCAGGGCTGGAGATTAAACTGAGAAATTCACACACTAGGCAAGTGCTTTATTACTGAGCTACTCTAGACCCTCAGGCTCAACCTATTCTCAAAGACAATGCAGAGGCTTCAATATTATAAGGCCATACACACACTTTTAATAGTCTACTCCCATCTCTTCTGGACGCCATACTAATAGCTAAGGTCAAGTCACAATATAAGCCAGTTGAAGAAATGTTGGGCCAGATAAGGGAGAAAACAGACTAAATCCTGCAAAAGCTATAGGACTTCAACAAACAGTCTATCAGGATATGGTTTTATTGGGTCTAGATCCTGAGAGTGATGACTCAAGGGAAATGCCTCCTTGTAAAATTGGCATGAGTTTGCTTGTTCTTACCTCAGACCACATCTCTTTTCACATAATGCGTGCCACTTGGAGTTCTGACCAATTCTCCATTGGGAGGATTTCCAACATTTTTCAGGGCCATATTCAGAAGCAGTACTTTTCCTCTTGCAGCCATACTTTGAGCCAACCTATTCATCAGTCAAACTCAGCCACTTTTCTCCTCTATTTGCTGGTCATAAAAGATCCCACATGTGGTTATAGGTGTAAGCTGAGGGAAGAGGGTCACTACAACTGGTGTTTTACATTGTAGGCACATGACTGTGTTGAAGAGAGTAATAAAGCTGACTGGCAGTTAACGAAGGGTTACCCCAATATATAAATAAATAAATACTGATTCAATCAATGTACACTGCATGCATGGACTGAAATATCACATTGGATCCTACTTGTATAACTACTTTGTAACCCTACTTTATGTAACTAATACATATGAACAAAAATAAAATAAAAATTTTAAATGAGTTTTCTCAGGGCCAGGGATTTAGCTCAGTGATTCTGCTGCCTCCCTTACAAGCACAAGGACCCGAGTTCAATCCCTGGTACCCAAAATAAATAAATAAATAAGTAAGTAAAATGAGTTTTCTGGAGAGTTCTAAAAAATAAAAATTCTTGGGTCTCAACCCTCAAGATTTTGATTCACTACAAACCATTCCAGTCTATGCATGATATGCCTGTGGGGTGATGTGGCATATGGACATATATACAGAGATCATGACTATAGCCACACAATTCCCCATTTCACCAGGCTCCAAATTTCATTCTCAATTCCTCATAAATTTTAAGTGAAAATAGATATGCAGATCTTATACCTCGTTAAAAAGCACAGAGAGCAGTTACCTTGCAATCCATTACAATTTACAATATTAAGTGAGACTGAGAAATCCATCACAGCCAAAAAGGGATGAGCCCATCCCTTCAGGGTGAAGACATACACGGAAAAGCAGGTGAGAGTAGAACCCAGGCAGGAAGAGCAGATACAGGAACTAAGTATCACATTCACAGAAGAAACACCAATTTATTCATTTGTCCAAAATTCAACACAGCAAGTGGGTCAGAAAAGATGGCTGAAAAGGAGTACCACTTGTAGAAAGCACTTAATCCTAGGGCTGCCCAGGTGAGGAACGGTTCATAGACTGGAGCCCCAGAGGGGTCTGCCCATAAAAAGCTGGCTCTTGCTCTCAAGACTGTGGTTTTCTTAGAGAAAGCTGTTTCTGCAGCACTAAGTGCGTGCTTTTCTAGACCCCTATAACCAGTATGGCGATTGTGACTGCACTCATCTGCTTTCAGAACTATCCTCTGGCAGTAGTGAGAGGGGTCTGAATCAGGGACATCTTGCAAGGAAGAGGACAAGTCTAGTTTATATGTTAGCTCTTCTAGGAAGCTCCCCACCCCCACCTCCGCCACCAAATGCTCAGGCTGCATATCTTTTTTTTTTTTTTTTGTTTTTTAAATGTTTCTGCAGCACTAAGTGCGTGCTTTTCTAGACCCCTATAACCAGTATGGCGATTGTGACTGCACTCATCTGCTTTCAGAACTATCCTCTGGCAGTAGTGAGAGGGGTCTGAATCAGGGACATCTTGCAAGGAAGAGGACAAGTCTAGTTTATATGTTAGCTCTTCTAGGAAGCTCCCCCCCCCCCCCTCCGCCACCAAATGCTCAGGCTGCATATCTTTTTTTTTTTTTTTTGAGTTTTAAAGATCATTTTCATTTTTTTAAAGTTAATATGTGCATGACAGGAAACAAACTCAAGAAGCAAAGAACAAAGTCATTTAGCAGTCATAAGCATCTTAGGTGGATGTATTATTCTTCTAGGTCTTGTGTGTACCTGCATGACACACCATTCTGTGTAACTGAGGTTGTACAGCGAGTCATGCTTTTACACACTCCATGAATATTCCCCAATTCAAAATCCCAAAGCTACAAGAACTCAGGACCTTGTGCTTTCGAGGCAGACGTGGCATCACTGAGCTAAATACCTGGTCCCTTATAAGGGTATTTTTGATAACCAAGAACACACTACACCAACTCAATCTGTGAGAAAAAAATCATAATCCTGCCTTTCTTGAAAATAAAAATTTCACTCAAGATAAAAATGACAACAGGCCTCTTGATAGACATACTGGCAAAGCTAAAATTACAATACTGCATTTCCTTAGTGCTCAATTTAAAACAAGACATAAAGCAACAAAGTATGCCAAGCCATGTGTCTGAGAGTTATCATATCTTTACTATTAAGATGTTAGCAAAAAGGTATGTTCCTAGTGAATTATTAAGGTGTTTCTACAATATGGCCAGAAGAAGTACACACACTGATTCCTCTCACTAAACTGTAAATCTGAACACTGCACACATCTCTCCTTGTATGCTTATTTCCACCCCTCTTTGGCCAGCTTAATGGCCAGCCCTGATACACACTGCCCAGGGCAGTTGTGACAATTCCAAGCCCAAGATGTATTTTTCTCTCAATTATAACAAAAAGATACTTAAATATCTAACTCACTACCTCTAGTTCTTATCATACATTGCCACCTCAGTACATCTGTAAAACTTAGATGCTAAGCAGTAGAGTATGAACTTTGTTTCCTTTTTTTTTTTCTTGACCATTCTTTTTTTTTTTGGTACCGGGGATTGAACTCGGGTCCTTGCGCTTGCAAGGCAGGCAGCGGAACCACTGAGCTAAATCCCCAGCCCCTGAACTTTGTGTACAATAAGTCCAAGTACTTAACCAAAATAGGCACATACAGTCCTACGGTTATAAATCATCTCCCAGATATGGAGATAATAGCAAAGAGCTCTTACCACTCTCACCCACCCTTTTCCTTCTTCACCACTTCAGTGACAAAGTCAGGACCACATCTAGCTCCAAGAGGTGGCTTTAGCAAAGGTTACTTCCAGAAGACAGTTCTTCCTAAAAACTAACAAAAGAACATTTGTACAGGGATTATTTGGCTACTTCTAACATAATTTGGGCAGTAGGAGTTATCCTTTAATACCCAGCAGTGTTAACTAAAATGTACATATATATATATATATACAGAACAACAGCAAGACAATATGAACTCACTTAACTTCCCCTCTCCATACTTCTCCTCCTGCACCCCATGAATAGCCAGCACACCCTCCAAGACATCAAGTTTGACAATTCCATTCCCAAAATACAACCATTCCTGTGAAGCAACAAAAATATACTTAAAGCATGTTACTCCGGCCCTTGACTTTTACATGTGTGAACTTTAAACAGAAAGACTGGATGTTTCCAATAAACATTTAAATGTCCCATAAGTACAGTGGCACTGAGTAAATTGCACACATATACTATATGTACTTAACAAGGACTGTAATTTTAAAGCTTTTTTCTTTGGTACTGGGGATCAAACTCAGGTCTTTGTGCTTGCGAGGCAGGTGGCAGAACCACTGAGCTAAATGCCTGGCCCTTTAAAGTGTAATTTTAAGTGTTATCTAAACAGGAACACTCTGGCCTACAACCCTTTCCCCTTTCCATCTTTTTTAACACAGGAGACAGATACATGCATATGTAATATGAAGAGGAAACTAACACTTTCACTTCCTAAGTGGTTTTAAGAACATTCTTTCTAATGAATTTTAACACAAAGTGTACTCAACACATTAATTTACTAATTCTACTTCTATCATACACTGGCAACCTCTTTAACATCTAGAAAGACCAGATATAAACTACAACTCCTTTGTCCTTTATATACAACTACATACAGAGGAAAGTAAAACAAAATGCACAGACCTAAAGGTCAGTGCTCAATCCTACTTCACCAAAACCACGCTGATTGAGAGCCCTTTGCACTTTCTTTTCCTTTCTCTCTGAACTAGCACAAATACATCTACTGCTCATATCAGTGATTTCATCATTCTATTTCTTAAAGACAGTATTTCCTTATTAACCTTAACAAAAGGATATCTGTAAAATGTGTAGTTTACTATCCCTACTTTTAAAATACTTTGTGCACTTCTAAACATCTGGAAAGACTAGATGTTTCAAATATGGATAAATTTGTCTACTATATACATAGTAGTGTCAAATACTACACACATGTAACAATGGTTATATCTGACAGTGTCTTCTAAGCAGGATCATTCTGATCTAGAATCCTCCGTTTCTCCTTTCCTTGTCACATGTAATACAGACACATATATCACTCAGAAATGACTTTATACTTACACTTCCTAAAGTCCTTTTCTCAAGACAGCCTTTCTATAAATTTTAACACAAAGTATACAAAATGCCTTAGTTTACTAACTACTTTTGTCATACACTGACAACTTCTTTAATATGTAGAGACTAGATATTATAAAATTAGGACCCATATATCCAGTATATATGCTATATAGAAAAGTTAAATGAAATGCATGTAACATAAGAGCAACGGAATCACAATTTCTTCCTTCCCACCTCCCTGAACCCAGTGAACAATTACACACAGTATACTGTTCAGAGGTAGTTTAACTATTCTATTTGAAAACATAGTATTTCCTATCAGTTTTTAAAAGCTATTAGCAAAAAATGTTATTCTACTTCTACTTTTAAAATTATCAAGCAAAGCACTTCTACATATCTAGAACTAGATTTTTCATATAAGAACTTGTCTACTATCACACAGCCCTGATAAATAAAACTGCGCATATAGCAATGGATTAAATCTGAGGCATCTTCTAAACATGACCATTCTGGCCTTGAACCATTCCTTCCTCACTTCCTTCTGCCTTCAACCCAGTGGACAAATACACGCATATGTCATGTTAGAGATGGTTGAATCCAAAATTCATTTACAGAGGACAAGCTTTTTCGTGTATTTCAACATAAAGTGTACAAAAATGTGCACTATTTCTTCATATACTGGCAACCTCTTTAACACTCAGGGACTAGATGTTGAAAAACTTGGCCTTACTTGCCCATCATATACACTATGTACACAGCAAAACAAAACTCATAAACAAAATGATGTCTGAAAATGTTCAAATACAAACACACTAGCATACTACTTTTTGTAACTGCTGCCCTACCACCTCCTCCAAACCAGTGAACAAGTAAAGACTGTACCATATTGCTCAAGAGGTGGTTTAACCATTCCATTCCCAAAAGACAACATTTCATATAAAGTTTAGCAAAAGGATATTACAAAGTGACACTTTACTACCTCTACATTTAACATACAGTGGAAACTTCTACACATCTAGATAAGACTGGATGTTTCAAGTAAGGACTCAGTTTGTCTGTTGTATATACATGACAGTCTTGATTAAACTACACACATGTAACAATAGTTCAAAGTATCTAAAATATGAGCAGGCTGCCAGGCATGGCGGTACACGCCTGTAATCCCAGCACTTGGAAGGCTGAGGCAGGAGGATTGCTGTGAGTTCCAGACTAGCCTAGGCTACACAGTGAGTTCCAGGTTAGTCTCAACTGCATAGTGAGACCCCGTCTCAAAAAACTAAAATTAAAATTAAACATAAATAAATAAATAATAAAATAAAATATGAGCATACTAATCTAGAACCCTTCCCTTCTCCACTAACCCAGTGGACTAAAATGCTCAAATTTTCAGAAGACAATCTTTCCCAGGAATTTTAACACAAAGTGGACAAAATTTGTTAGTTTACTAACTGTACTTTTGTCAAAACTGACCTCTTTAGCATCTAGGAAGACTAGATGATGTGAAAGGACTCATTTATCCTTTGCATATCCTACATACATAGCAAAATAAATGGAAATGCAGACACAAACAACAATGGTAACTTGCCTTACTATAGTTCACTAGAACAGCACTGTGCATTTCCTTCTCTTCTGAGAACTAGTGCATAAACACAACACTTACAAGTCAAGAGGGGTTTGCCTATTCCCCATACAAAATAATGCTTCATGCGAGTTCCAACAAAACGAAACTTAAAGATGCGTTACTGTTCTTTCTCTACCTTTTAGCATGTATCAGGCACTTTAGAATATCTAGAAAGAACAGATTATTTCAATAAAGTACTTAGCACTCTCACACACACACACACACACACAGTAGCGACTAAAATGCACACACAAAACAATAGTTACAGTACGAACCATTTCTTCTTCATGTGGCGAGTGTGGTACTGGTTCTTTTCTGTCTTCTGCTCCGTGTCCTCTAAGCCAAGGTACAAATGTGGACAAGTATCACTCCTAGTGCTTCTTCAGATGGTCTAATGAGCTCCATTTCAGAGTCACTTTCAGAAGACGCTTTTTGTCAAGTTTTTTAAACAAACGGGCTTTTCCAAGGCGTGCGGTTTTTCTAACTACTTTGTCATACGTTGGCAACGTCTTTCCACCTATATTGTCCACATGCAGCAAATCTTCTTTTAAATGCTGAGAGCAGTTTTTTCACATTGTATACAGAGGCCTTCTAAAACCGGCCATTAAATCTTCCAAACGGGTGGCAGGCATTTCCAGTTACCCGAATGTCGATGTCACTTCACCGCTAGCCATTCTACCGTCCTCTCCTGGGCTCCCATTTGTCCTCGCGACAGTCAGGTGCGTTCTCCTCCAGCCCACACGCAGACGTCACCCTGGCCGGATCTCCGCGGTTCTATGACCGGAAGTTGCCGCGCTTTTGACCCACTTCCGGCCCACCGCGGGGGGGGGGTCCAGAGGCCGCCATTTTCTCACTCAACCTCGCTGCCAGCCCTGCAAGGCGGGTCCTCCAGGCTGGCAGGGTCTTCGCCTAGGCTGGCAGGATTGGGCTAGGAGATCTCATAAGCTGTAGCTCCAAGGCCTCTACTTTCATCAGGTCATCGAGGTGGGATCCGGGGGAGCGGCTCACCTGTGCTTCAAAGCATGCGCCCCACCAGGGCAGGCGCAGGGAGGTGTCCAGGGATACATCCGCAGGGCCCTTGCCAAGCGGGCCATGCTGTCTTTCTCCTTGTACCCTGCCAGACAGGCTGCATATATATTCTGTGAGCCTCGGGAGTACTCTCTACATCCTTCATTTATAGAATTTATGCAAATGTTTTGAAAGTACCTGTTTATATGTACTGAAGGAATCCAACCCTTCCATTCTGGCCTGAGCAGACACCACTTTAAATCCCTTACCCCTGCTATGCTTTTATATCTTCTGTAGATATATAGCTATGGGCTAATAAGGCTCAGTAAGCACAGCTACACCCTGTAATTCCTAATCATCACTCAGCCCTGCTCTTGATAAACAAAATACAACTCCTTGTACATTTTCAAGCCTTATCCAAGGCAAATAGCCACAACTGCGCTGAACTCTATTCCCCTCTAAAGTCCCACTGTAACTTTTTCCTTCCACAGCTCCCCCACACCCTTTTTATGCTCATGACCCTATAAAGACCTTATAGCCTGTATGAGAGTTAGTTGGTCTAGTCTCTAGTGCCAGAGTACACCCCCTCATTTGTTCTGAAATAAACCTTTCCTAGTGAACTCATACCTCTGTTTCTTTCCCTTTTTTCTTAGCATGTTCATCTTCCAAAAAATAATGGTCTATGTATGCAACACATATTGTGTTCTTTGCCCTCCTAGTCCCAGTTCTTGAAAGAGTAACCAGAACATTCCAAGTGCTAAAGAGCATTTGTAGTTTTATCTGTTTACTTGGTTTGTCCTTCCCAAAGCTTAAACTGTCTATTTTTCACTACTTCTTTCAGCCACTCTAAAGACTTGTGCTAGGTTAAAGTAGTGAAGGTCAGAGCAACCAATCAAGTGCATTGCCTGTCAACAGAAGACTGGTGTCTTCCTGAAGAAGATGGCAGTAAAAGCTAGCAAAGGAGGGAAGAAAGGACCTTGTATGGCCCTCTCCTCTCTTCTCATACCAGGAACTAATACCAATTCCAGGTGTCTGGAGTAGACAACACCATGTCAGGTGTAGGGAATAAAAGGTATTTTCTCTTCTAGGTCCAATTTTAAAATAGTCCCCAAAGATTTATCCTTAAGAAGTTAAAGACCCCTGAGTTAGAAGCCATACGAGCTTGAACCTTTTCCTGCCACTTGACACGCAGTCAAATGAATAACATCCTGTCCTTACAAAAAATAATCTAAATCTTCCAACTCTACAATCAACAACCTGGTAGTAAAAAAACAAACAAAACCAGATGGGTTGGGAAATGAAGAAAGTGGGAGGCTGGTGGATGTCCAGGTGGAGATCTGGCGCCCAGGACTGATGGCTCATAGTGGCCAAGGCCCAGCAGTATTAGCAGTTGAACCTAGCACCTAAACTGGAGTGAGGAGGAACTCTCACATGAAGACATACACATATCCCAAGAGGCACTACAAAGAGAAAGCCATCTACAAAAGAAGAAACACAAAAACTGGGACAGACCTCTGCCCAACAGTTCTATAAACCTCTGTAAAGAAGCACAGCTAAAATGAGAAAAACAAGATTTGCCTACCAAAAAAAAAAACCCCACAAAACCTCCCAAAGCCAATCCAACAGACACTGAAATGGATGAAATTCCAGACAAAGAATTTAAAAACTGTTAGTTATCAAAATTAAACTACTAGATAAGAAAAAACCAAAATGATTGATGAGATCAAAGAACAGAAATGCAGTTGAATGAATCAATTACTAGCATGATCACTGAGTTCAAAGAACATGCAAATAAGAAGCTGGTTGAAGTGAAGACAACAGAGGATGTGAAAGACCACTTCAGTAAAGAAAGAGAAGTTCTGAAAAGGAAGTAAGCAGAAATCCTGGAAATGAAAACCTCAACAACTCAAATAAAAACTTCAATTGAAAGTCAGGTAGAGCCGGAGATTTAGCTCCGGGGATTTAGCTCAGTGCTTCTGCTGCCTGCTTCATATGCACAAGGTCCTTAGTTCAAGAAAGAGAGAAAGAAAGACAGAGAGGGAGGGAGGGAGGAAGAAAGAGAGGGAAGAAAGGAAGGAAAAAATCTAGGCAGTGGAAAGATCATTCAGAAGAGTATCGGGAGTTGAAGACAGGGTAGAAATTCTAGACCCTTCAGACAGTATCAGAGAAAACATAACACTGAGCAGACTATAAAAGAGATCTTGAATAAAACCCTAAAGAAATAAGGCTCACTGAACTGGAAGAAGGCATTGAAAAACAAGCTGATGGCTTTAAAAATCCATTTACCAGAAGTATAGGAAACATTTTCCCAAAACAGGAATGAAATGGATAGCCAGGTAAAGGAGCCATTGACAACCCCAAATAGATACTACAAAGGAACTTTTCCATGACATATCATACTTGAAATATCAGAAATCTGGGAGAAAGAAACAATGTTAAAAGCGGTCAGAAGAAAAAGAGCCAAATCACTTATTATAGCAAACACATCAAATAACAGATTTCTCAAAAGAAACCTTTAAGGCTATGAGCACTTGAAGTTTTCCAAGCCCTAAAAAAATAAATAAATAAATAACAACAACAACAACAACAACAATAATAATAATAATAATTGCCAATCCAGCTTACTAAATCCTGCAAAGCTATCCTTCAAAATCAAAGGAGAAATAATTATCTTCCATGATAAGTACAGAAGGTGTGATAGAAATATACAATGCATGTTTAACTTTAAAAATTTTATAGTAAGCCCCCTCAAAATATTCCTCCTCAGCTCAGTCACACTTATGCCATAATTCTTGCCACTTTCTTTCATCCAAAGATTAACCAAGCCTGAAATGGCTTAGCTTCCGAGATCAGACAGACTGGGTACATTCAGGGTGGGGTGACTGGACAGTTCACGCCACTTTCTGAAGCGGTTCTGGAAAGTCCTCTTTTGTGCATGTTTTCATGAGGTGTGATGAGAAACTATGGTGAATGCTGCTGCCAAGTGCCATCCGATGGAAAGACAGACTAACAAAAACTCAGTGTGCCCTCATCCACTTTATTCACTGGACCTCTGACTGTGCAACTCGTGGCTCTCCTCCAAGGATGAGAATGCGTTCAGGACGTCATAGCAGCCAAGACAGCACAACTAAAGAGGCTGTCTAGGGAAGTTTCAGAATGTGGCAAAAACGGTGGGATAAATGTTTTCAAAGCGAAGGGAATTATTTTGAGGGAGATTAATGGCAATGTGTCTTCTACTGTAATATTCAAAAATTATTTTAAATGTTTTTATTAGCACACATTTGTCATACATACTGGTCACATTTGTCATAGGGAATTTGGACCTGTCCATAATATATCGTAATTCTTTTTTCCCATTCCCCTCCCCATCTTCAGCCCTTCTTCTCCTCCCCGTTTACAAAAGCTTTGTTTCCATTTTCCCTTCCATTCTCACTTTTCTCCTTTTCACTTCCTTCCCTTCTCCCTCCTGCTTCTCTTGTTCCATCCCCATGTGAGCATGTACTTCCTACTGCCCAATAGCTATTATTCTCCATTCTGCTCCTTATTTCCTCTTTGGGTTTCTCACCCGAGATTTAAATTTGTGTGTCCAATTTATCTCACTTAACATCACTGTCTCAAAGTGCACCCATTTTCCTACAGATGACTCAACCTTATCATATGGCAGAGTAGTACTTCATTGTATATAAACACCACATTTTCTTTATTCATTCACATTTTGATACAACTTCTGGGTTGTTTCCATGATTTAACTATTATAAATTGTGCTGAAATAAACAGGGATGTGCACAGATCACTGGGTTATGATACTTCTAACTCTTTCAGGAAGATAGCCAGAAGGGGAATACCTGGATCAAATGGAACCTCTAGTTTTAGTTTTTTGAAGAATCTCCATACTGATTTCTTTAGTAGTTGTACCAGTTTACACTTTAACCAACAATGGAAAGGGGTTCCTTTTCCCCCACAGTCACACCAGCATTTGTTATTCGTTGATTTCTTGACCATAGCCCTTTTTTCCTGGACTGAGATGGAATCTCAGTGTTGTTTTAATTTGAATTTCTTGAATGACCAGTGATGTTGAGCAATTTTTCATATATTTATTTGCTGTTTGTATTTCTTCATCTGAGAAACGTCTATTCATTTCATTTAAATTTGGGGATTCGATTTTTTTTTTTTTTAGTTCTTTGTATATTCTAGGTGTTAGTCAGTTGTCTGAAGAGTAGCTGGTAAAATATTTGTCTCATTTTGTCTCTTCACTTTGTAGGTGGTTTCTTTGGCTAGGTAAAAGCTTTTTAATTTGATGTGACCCCAGTTGTTGATGCTTTGTAAAATTTCCTGTGCAATGAAGATTTGGTTCTTAACGTCTTTGCCTACTCCTATGTCTTCTAGAGTTTTACCTATTCTATCTTCCAGCAGATTGTTTCTGTTTTTATATTTAGATCTTTGATGCATTTTGATTTTAGTTTGGTGCATGGTGAGAGATATGGATTTAAGTTCAATTTTTGGCATGTGAAAGCCAGTTTTCCCTGCATCATTTATTAAAGAGGTTTTCTTGCAGTAAAGGTGTTTAGTCCCTTTGTCAAAGATAAGGCAGCTGAGTGCGCTTGGTGTTGTTTCTGCATCTTCTATTCTGTTCCACTGATTCTCAGATCGGTTTTTGGTTTGTTTGTTTTTGTTTTCGTTTTTTTTGCCAGTACCAAGCTGTTATCATGGCAGCTTTGTAGTATATAACTTCACATCAAAATTGTGGTGCCCCCTGCATTGACCCTTTTGCCCAGAATTGACTTTGCTATTCTAATTCCAAATGAATTATAGGATTGCTTTCCCTAGTTCTCTGAGGTATACTCACAGTATTTTGATTGAGGTTACATTAAATCTGTATAACAGTTTTGAAAGTGTGACCATTCACTATATTGGTTCTGACTACCTAAGGACAGGGAATATCTTTCCATTTTCTGATATCCTCTTTGATCTCCTCTTTTAGAGTACAGTAGTTTTCAGTGTATAGTTCTTTCACTTCCTTGGTTAGATTGATTTCTAAGTATTTCATTTTTCTTTATGCTTTTGCATAAGATGTTGTTACCCTAATCTTCTTAAAGTGTACAATAATGCTATTGTTTTTTAGTACTGAATTTGTACCTTTCTCGGCTGCTAAATTTGGTTATAATTCTAGGAGTCTCTTGGTGGCATTTTTGGGGTCTTCTTCATAGAGTATCATGTCATCATCAAATAATGACAACTTAACTTCTTCCTTTTCTATCCATATTCCTTTTATTTCTTTCTCTTGTCTAATTGCTAATGTTTCCAGAACTATACTGGATAGGAGTGGTAATAGTGAGCATACTTGTCTTGTTTCTGATCACAGTTGTTTGCCATTTAGTATGATGTTGGCTGTTGGTTTGTCATAGATGGCTTTTATCAGATTGAGAAAAGAACTATTCCTATTTTTTGTGGTATTTTCATCATGACTGGGTGTTGGACTTTGTTAAATGCTTTTTCTAAGTCTATTGAGATGATCATGTGGTTATTTTTCCTTGGCTCTGTTAATCTGGTATATTACATTTATTGATTTGCATACGTTGAACCCTCCCTGCATCCCTGGGATGAATCCTACTTTGTCATGGTTTATAATTTTCTTGAGGATTTTATGTATTTTGTTTACCAGTATCCTAAGGAGAATTTTTTGGATCTATGTTCTTTTTTGGTTGAACTCTTCTTGGGTTTTGGTATCTGCGTAATGCTTGCTTCCAGAAATGATTTTGGGAATACTGATGTACTTTCACTTTCATTAAAGAGTTTGTGGAGGAATGGCATTAGATTTTTATCTAAAGTTCTTACAGAATTCAACAGTGACTCCATCAAAGCTTGGGCTTCTCTTTGTTCATAGTTTTTTTTTTTTAAATTACTTCTTCAGTTTCATGACTGATAGTGAGTTATTTAAAATTTTTATATTTTCTTGATTCAGCTTTGGTAATTCGTATTTATCTAGAAATCTGTACATTTCTTCTGAGTTTTACATCTTATTAGAGTAGAAGTTCTCAAAGAAGGTACTGAAGATCTGGATTTCTGCAGGATCCATTGCGGTTTTGCCCTTTTCATTCCTAATTGTATTGGTTTGGGTCTTTTCTTTCCTTTTTGGTTTTTTTGAGACAGGGTCTCACTATGTATTTGAGACTGACCAGCAACTCACTATGTAGCCCAGGCTGGTCTCAAACTCACAGCAATCCTCCTGCCTCAGCCTCCCAAATTCTGGGATTACAGGCATGTGCATCATGCCCAGCTCTTTCTTTCCTTTTTAATGTAAGGTTGGCTAAGGGTTTGTCTATTTTATCTTTCAAAGAACCAATTATTCAAGTCATTGGTTTTTTTTGTATGGTTTTCTTAGTCTCAATTACAGTAATTTTTACTTCAATCTTTACAATTTTCTCTCTCATAAACACTTTGGGTTAAGTTGCTCTTCTTTCTCTAGAACCTTGAGGTTCAACATTAGGTTATTTATTTGAGCTTCCTCTGTTTTTCTGATGTGGGAATTCACCCTTATAAATTTCACTTGTAGAATTGCTTTCACTGTGTCCCATAAGTTCTGGTATGTGACACTGGCATTTTTGTTCAATTAAGATACTGTCTAATTTCTTCTTTAATTACACCTGTGACCCACTGGTTGTTCGGGAGGGTGTTACTTAATTTCCATGTGTCTATGTAGTTTTTGTAGTTTCTCTTGCCGTTGATTTTCAATTTCCAATTATGATGGCTACTCATGACTAAATATAGGCAAAGAGAAGCTTTCTAAAAGCACTAAACTAAAAAACTAAAAAAAAAGTCCAAGAATTAATCAAAGAATTGTGCAATGAAGATATGATAAAGGTTTGAAAAATCTCTCCCCCACAGGCACACAATTAAAAATGGTGAATACATGTAATGGTTTTAATTCCTAGTGCCCAATTAGCTATCAAAAACTTTGTTAAATATAACACTGAAAAAGACTCAATATACATTCAAGGGTTAAATCTGATTTTCTTAATCAAATCGGCCTTTCCAGTCCTAGAGCCCCACATGCACATTGCCAGGTGATTTGAGGTTTTTCAAGGACCCTGAGTAACCTCTTCAGTCCTATCAATGCCCTTTCCATTTAAGTCCATCCAGAATTCTACAACAAATATCATAGACTGAGAAGTTTACAAACAACAGAAATTTGTGCTCACTTCGGCAGCACATCTACTAAAATTGGAACAACACAGAGAAGACTGGCATGGCCCCTGTGCAAGGATGACATGCAGATTTGTGAAGCGATCCATATTTTTCTTAGGCCTGAAAAAAAATTTATTTCTAACAGTTCTGGGAGGCTAGAAAGTCCAAAATTAATGTGTCAGGAGATCCAGTGGCCAGTGAGGGCCATTTTCCTCTTTCAGAGATGGCACCTTCTCACTGTATCCTCCCAGGTAGGAAGCAGCAAACAAGTCCTCACAGGTTACTCATCCCTGCCATGAGTCTCTTTTATAAGGGCACCAATCCCACTCATAAGGGCTCTGCTCTCACAACTTCACCGCCTTACAAAAGGACCAAACTCCTAACACCATTGTCTTGGGATTAGGATTTGATACGGGAATTCTGAGCAAGCACAAACGCTCAGACCACAACAGAAGTTAATTTGATACCCCTTCCTCAGCAGAATCCCTCATAGAACTCCTGCAGGTTAGATGTCCCAGGGAAACCCTAGGGGCTGCTCAGTGTCTTCTTCTTAGTCTCCCATGCCCCATATGCAAACTTTCCTGCCCTTAATTCCTCCAATATTTCATGTATTACAGATTTAACTCAGCTTGTTTGTGACAAGGGTCTGGTTAGAGAAAAGAGAAGGAAGGAAACGGCTAACAAATCAGGGAGGTCATTTAAGGAATCCCTGAAAATCCCCTCTTTCAAATCAGTCTGACAAACATGTAAGGAATTTGAATACAGTCCAGAATAAGAGTTTAGAGATACACAAAGCCTAGACAGGTAGCCTGAGTCCTGCCTCTCACAACTCAGTTTTATGCTGATCATATCTGCTTCCTAGTAGATTAACACTGTGATCTACACATCACGTACTCACCTAAGTTAGAATGCACAACAGAATCTCAGATGTATCTTCTCAGAGAACTTCTCCAGGGGCCACTAACTTACAGGTCCTCCTAAGACCCAAAACACCAAGAGTGGGTGGGATTTTGAATCCCCGTTTCTCAGATAAGAAAATGGGATCCCACAGCAATCAAAGAACTTAGGTCAAGGTCATACAGGAAAAAACATACCCAGATGTTTAACTGCTAGTCTGAAGCTCTTACCAAAATACTCAGGAAATCTACAAAGCTTATTTCAAATATCAGTCATGAAGGAACTCCCAGGCTAACGAGAGTCAAAGAAAGGGCTCTGTAAGAGTGTCAGCACAAGATTTCTTCATCTGACTCCAGGCAACAAAATCTAACAGTGTGAAATCTTTCTAAGCTTGTGAATATAAAACAGGTTTTCATGACAGTATAATTGCTCTTAAAGAAATATTACAAGTTAGAAGTGGTCCGGTGGTCATCAGAGTGTTATGAATCCAGCATCTGAATGCTGCCTTCTGAACTCTTACAGCGCTCTGAACCTTCATCTTAGCATTTTCTACAATGCACTGGACTGGTCCGTTTATGTACCCGTTCCAGGCCTTTCATCCCCATTAGACTAGATACTCTGGGCTCAGCTCATAAACATTTCACTTTTGGGGAGCTAGTATAGCATCCAGCATGATACAGACCTCAATAAATTTGCTGAATAAAACGTAGGTGGTTCTACAACATAACCACATGTTGGTTGTCTACAGCAGGCCTGAATATCACTTTGGAAAGGAAGAGAGGAACACACCATTGGCCAGACGCTCCTCGCCTTTCTGGAAATTTTGCTAGAATTCTCTTCACACAGAACCCAAGTATATTTGTCTGTTTATTCTACTCACACGTTCTTTAGACTCTCAACTACTGTAATTCTGCAGTTCACCCTTCCATCGGTAACTCAGTGATTCATTTAATACAAATAAAAGGAAGGGTTTAGCACTACAGTGGGGCTTCAAAATGCACAATGACAAACATGACTCTGACTACTTGGGGAAGCAATTAGGTGATATGACATAAAGGAACAAAGAAAATAAGACATACTTCACTTCTGTGGTAGAAAGAAGTATAGGCCAACAGCACAAATCAAAACTATACCTAGGGGTAGGGGAAGAAGGATATCGGTAGATTTATCAGAAGACAAAATGCCTCAGTTGTGAGCTCTGTCATTTGAAATGTTATGCCCCAGCTGTTTCTTTTTCCTACCCTATGTTTGTTTCTTATGCTGTTTCTTGTACTATGTTCACATAGTCATTTAACATCCATCATTTTTCTCCTGAATTTATGCTATTCAGCTATGAAACATGATGAAAATATGTGGTGAATGTTTAAATTTTTTAAAAGCTTATCACAGTAAGAGACACATCAGCCCTAAAGTCCCTCAAAAGATTCCCCATCACTTTGAAAATACTTACTGTAAGTCGGGTATGATGGCACACGCCTGTAATCCCAGTACTTAGGAGGCTGATATGTTTGGTTAAGGTAAGGGATTGAGCCATAGAAAAGGCATTCAAATGAGCTCCCGTGAGCCAGCTTTTTATGGGGGTGTTTTTGTTTTAAAAAGTAGCAGAGGTTGAGAAGAACAAACTGAATAAAAAAATTGGGGCAGGTTCTTATCCACGCCTTTTCTAATCTAAAAAGTCCGTATTTGGTTAAGAAAGGTCTTGTTAATCACGTCTATCATACCAAAGACACTCCCGCATAACTTTTCAATTTCTCTTGAATTTCTTAGTCAGATCCCAGCACAGAGGTCCCAATTTCTCCACGAAACTGCTAGCATTTGTTACTTCATGTTTGTTTAAGCAGCTGTCTCAATCAGACAGTTTTCCTGCCGCTGAGACCCAGTACCTGAGGTCCACAACATACAGAAGGAAAAGTCTAACTGGGTTCACAGTTTCAGTCTGCGATCAGCTGGCCCCAGGTCAAAAAGGAGGAAAGACCAGACGTGGACTCCAAGGCCACACTTGCGAGACCACCCACCTAGATGGGGTGGGTACCAAAACCAGTCAAACTGAAACTCTTCCCTCATGCCACACTACCCTAGTGGAACGAGGTGGTGTCTCTCCGTGGTTTTGATTTCCAGTTACTTAGTGATAAATGATGGTGAGCATCTTTACATATGCAGGTTGGCTGTCTATTTTCTTTGGTGTTTAGCCAAGTTCTTTGATCACTTCTCATTCAGGTTACTTACTGCACAATTAGCCATACTGCATGTCACTCATAATATTATCTGCATTTTTTTCTCTTTTTTCTTGACCAATCCTGACACAGGATTGACTGTTTTGTTAGTATCTGTAAATATGACCAGATTCTGGTTTGTTTTGGTTTTTGGTTTATTCTCATTGAGTTTATTGGTACATTTTAGGTACACAGTACAGTTACATTCATCATTGGGATCTTGTGCCTTTGCAAGACTGGTCTTGGTTCTCATTTTTTCCCCATACCCCTGCCTTCCCTTTGCCCCCTCCACCCTTCCCTATTTACAAGTACTTTATTTCCATTTTTTCATTTTTTTTTCTTTTCCTTTTTTTTTGGGGGGGGGTGCCAGGGATCAAACTTAGTCCCTGCACTTAGCTTCTAGTTTTGATGATTTTCTAAATTGTAACATTTTTTCTTCTTCCTTAATTTCTACATTATTATATTTCCTTTCTTCCATTCTCTTGAGAGTTTCCTATTGATATTTTTCTAACTTTTTGACAGAACACTGTGGAAATCAATAACGGTAAGATTGAAAATTGCTAACCCAATTTGCCTAAGAAAATATATATAATGTAAAGTCAGGAGCTGTAGACTCCATTAATGGCTTTAAAAATCTGAAAAGTGTGGTAGACTGTTAACAAAAGTATATTGAATAGATGATTCCTAAACTATGACTGCAATTAGTTAAATGGGCAAGAAGTTGAAATCTTCAGTATCCATTTTCCCAAAATTTAACCTATTTCTATATCTCTTAGATAACTTTCACCAGTAGTCAAGGTTCTCACTCATGATGAAAAGTTCATTTTAATCGTGCCAAAGTACATTTAACTTATAGCTTTAAGACCATAAGTGCTTTCTATGGGAAGACAGTTGTTGAAATAATTATTGTAGGAAAAGAGTATGAGAAAAAAGTAAAAGGCAGGCTGATGAGGAGAGGAAGGCAATGAGGGGGAGGAGGAGGGGACTGTAAGACGGGGGGTTAGGTATGATCAAGATATTTACATCGTGGGCCAGGAATGTAGCTCAGTGCTTCTGCTGCCTGCCTTGCAAGAGCAAGAACCTGAGTTCCATCTCCAGGACCAAATATATATATATGCCTGATGTTTTATTTTATTTATTTTATTTTGAATTTTTTTAGACAGAGTCTCATGATGTAGTTCAGGCTGGCCTTGAACTCACAGTGATCCTCCTGCCTCAGCCTCCCAAGAGCTGGGGTTACAGGCATGTGCCACCATGCACAGATTAAAACCCGATATTTTATGATTACATTAATAGGTATTAATAAAGAAAAAAAATGAAATAAACATTCTCTTACCTTCACAATATGGATAAGATATTCCGCCTTATAAAACCAAGTTTACGATTTGAAAAGTGATTCCTGCACTTGAAACTTAAAATACAATGCAGAATTTCCATTTACCTTACCAAAGTTAGCTGCTTTCATAATTTAGCCATTTAAGGCTATAATGTCTGTCCCTTAACACAATCTAAATATACTGCCTCAAGATTTTATTTTTGAAATCCTATCCTAATATGTTCTAATATCTATGATGATATTTATTAGCTATTTAAATGTTCTATTTAAAATATTAAAACATAAGCTTTTAAAAGTTACTTTTCTTACATTCTGATTTCAAGGAATGGTTCTCAGAGAAAACGGTAAGTCTAATACTTACTCTTAGTCAGATGTGGAGGTGCGCATCTGCAGTCGCAGAACTCCAGGACGCTGCTGTACATGGGTCACAAGTTCAAATCCGCCTGGACAACTTGGTGATTTAGGAAGAGCCTGTCTTAAAAAAAAATTAAAGAAGGGCTAAGGATTTAGCTCAGTACAAAGGTCCTAGGTTCAGTCCCCGGTACAATAAATAACTCGATAAATAAATAGTTTATTACTAGTGCTTGTTTGCACTACATAATAATTACACTTCTGTGGGGAGTTGGAACATATATATAACACATCTTAATTCTTCTTTATCCCCTTT